GTGTGTGTGTGTGTGTGTGTGTGTGTGTGTGTGTGTGTGTGTGTGTGTGTGTGTGTGTGTGATTAGATATAGAACTCAGGGTCAGTACATGCTACCATTGAGCTCCCCCATCCCTTTTCAATCTTTGTTTTTAAAACAGCTTTATTAAGGTATCTTTGACATATACAGGCTATATATGTTGGAGGTATTGCATCTTGATGCTTTTTCTCTGATAGACATATAGACTGTGAGACACTCACAGCATTCCAGCTGGTTAAGACCCCTGCTGCCTCTGCAGTTAGCCTTGTAATATCCTGAATCTGTGTGGCACACACGAAGCACGCTCCATGAACTGCTCCATAGGTTGGTAGCACTGGCTCCAACGGCTGGGAGTGGACTGCTGTGAGGTTAAGTGCCTATCTTAGGCGGGTACTGGGTCCCATGAGCAACTCACCTGCAGGTCAGCTTGGGTACCTCTGAACGTCCCTCCTGGGTTGTCACCGTCTGGCACTTAGACCCGGACATCGCTGTAGAACTGTCTTTGGCCAGAAGGTCAAAAATGTTGTTATTATAAATTTCTACGATGGAGACATCAACCTTGGGACTTCTTGAAGGGTTTTCTGAAATGAGCCTGGGAGAAACACAAGGATTAAGGTATCAAGGAAATTCAGTGGCCTCTCACAGAAAGCATTGTAAGAATGGGCTCTTGAGCCGGGCGGTGGTGGCGCACGCCTTTAATCCCAGCACTTGGGAGACAGAGCCAAGTGGATCTCTGTGAGTTTGAGGCCAGCCTGGTCTACAGATGGAGATCCAGGACAGGGACCAAAGCTACACAGAGAAACCTGTCTTGAAAAACAAAACAAACAAACAAACAAAAAATGGCTCTTGAGGGAAGACGGTTGTAGCCCCAGGAAACACAAGGCATGATCTATTAAAAAAAAAAAAAAACGGGGAGACTCCATTAGCAGCAGCGCATTAGGGAGAGGAAACCTAGAATCCTGTGGGTGAAAGCTGTCTTGAGAACAAAGCTACCTCATAGGAGCTGTCTGTCACCAGCCACCATAGCAACAGGTGCCCTAGGTATTCAGGTCACTACATGAAGAGTCATGAAGAGCACAGCTTAGGCCCAGAAGCCTACCTGTCCTTTGTCACTCACAGATGTCCCCAGCAGCTGCAGGCCATAGCTTCTGAGCAGCTTGCCCACCCAAGGTGAGTTGATTTTAAGGCCTATTTGGTGAGGGGAAGACTGGACCACGGCTCCTTCCTTATAACCATTCCATCCACTTGGGCCTCTAACATATGCCTTCCAGAGGCTGCCTATGAACCACCTCAGGCTCACAGAAAGCAACCTCATGTCTTACGGATAAAACAACAAAACCCAACACTGCAGAAGTGGCCGCCCACGCTCGCCTTCCTCCTTCTCCCTCCCATGTCTCCCAGCTCCCACTTGAGGCTGTGACGGAATCTCAGGAACGGAGATCAAACACACTGTTGTTAGTCTTTGGAGGAATCCTGGCTGCCTTGACACTCAACAGTGAGGCCAACTGGCCCTGACAACAGCATCTTCTCAGGCAGCTGTTCTGAGAACAGGATGAAGTCTGAAGCAGCAGACACTACTTGAGGGGTCGTCCAGAGGGATGTGTCAGGTCAAACAGCTGGCCTGAGACTTCCGTCCAGAGTTACGCACAGAGTGAGGAACTGGTGCCTTTCTCTGTTGTTTTATCTCCAGTCTGTTTTCACAGTTGTCTTCGTGTAAGCAATTAAAAAAATAAAAATAGCAGATGAACAGAAAAGGAAAATTCTCAGGTAAAGATGAGGGGCAAAGCCACAGCCACAGGCTCCTCCCCGGCACTGGTGACGGCAGAGATCTCCAAACTGCTTATCTGGCAGTGGCAACAAGCTCTGGTAAGCCAGGGCTGTCATGTCCCTTCCCTACACAGGCACGACATACACAGAACATGGTCTCAGCTTTGTCCCAGTCCTTCCTCAGATGGTGTCTCGGAATGTCAAAAAACACAACTCAGAAAATAATACCCAGGAGTTAATTCAAAAGACTTTCCCAAACACTGCACAAGTTGTTGGCTAAACTCTACCAGCTGCCAAAAAGTACAGTCCGAAGCCTTAGCAGGCAAGTGGCAAAGCATTTGGATGGTGAGCTGTGCGTGTCCTGTCTCCAACAATGCGGGCACTGTGATGAAGTTTCTGAGGGTACCAAGGCTAGGTGGGAGGGGGGGCAGTGGTTGGGAGTGGAGGCTCCTCTCTCTAACCTCCTCAATCACTTTGATCTTGTCAGCTCAGTCCCATACATATCCTGCTAGGCCACACTGGTCTCTCCATTCTGGGCTTAGTTTTAATGGCAGAAAATTTACCACACACATCTATGTATTTCTGTGTTCCTGATCAATGCTTGGCATGTAGGGAAATACAGTATGTTTTTTGTTGATAAAGATGGCAAGGGAAATTAATCCAGAAGGATCAGTGCCAAGATACCCCATACACAGAGAGAGAGAGAGAGAGAGAGAGAGAGAGAGAGAGAGAGAGAGAGAGAGAGAGAGAGAAACATTCTCTGACATCCAGGCCTGATGTTACAGTTCCGTATGTGGGTAGAAGAACTGATAGCTTCCCAGTCTGTGTTTGTGGAAGTCACTCACACATGCCCCGAACCTGTTGCTCTCCAAGTCTGGTCTAGAGTGAAGAGGAAATAAAGAGGAGAACCTTCTCCACACTCCGACTATGATTGTCCTTGAGAATGAAGGAAGTGTGGCAAGGAGCGCCGGGTCCCAACTCTGTCAGGTTCATTCTGACCCAGTACGTCACTGTCCCCATGGAAGAGCTCAGACACAGCCAGATGCAGGTTCATGTTGGGCTAGAAAGTCCCCCAGAGGCTCATGTGTTTGAACAGTAGGTCCTCAGCTGATGGGGCGGTTTGGGAGGGTATGGCCTCCCATACAGAGGGTTTGGCAGAGGTAGGCTAAGAGGGGTAGGCCTTGAGAATTATAGCACAGCCCTGCTCTGGCCTGGGCTCCCTGCTTCCTGATGGATGCCATGTGAAGAAGTCACATTACCAGCTCTTGTCCCCGCCACCAATCTTGCCCTACCCTCATAGACTAAACCCTCTGGACCATGGCCCCAAATAGGTCCTCCTTCCCTTAACTTGTCTCTGGCAATCTGTCACAGTGTTGAGAACGTAGCTAACATGCACTCACCAGGAATGAGGGACCTCAAACATAGGTCAGTAATGCGATCCACTGTGAGGTGAAGCAGGGATCTAATTTCTAGATAGTTCCCTGAATTTTCTAACAGCCAGCAGGTCTTCCCAGCTCCTGGGGTCCAGAGCCTTGGGATACTTCTGGGCTCCTATGATGTCCTGATCACAGACTAGTTTGTGAGTAGAAATGTGATCCACTGCATGTAAATGCTTCTTACATGCAAGGTGAGGCTGAGTGACTGACTCCTTAAAGCAAGCACGTGCCTCACGGAAATATGATAAAGTAAAACTCAGAATGTTTTGAAGACAGGCTTCTCCATCTACAAAGATTTAGTTTCAGAACACTATTGCAGATGAGAGGCAAGCCATGGGGAGCAGAGCTTGCCTATATCAGGGAACCTCACTGCTGGCTGTGTAGATGGGGAGCCTCCAGGAGCCGAGAGCATCTGCAGATCCAGGGTCAGCAAGGGCAGGGGCCTGGGTCCCTCCACCCTGGGTCACTGAGGTCAGTCATCTGAGTGAGCTTGAGACAGATCCCTTGTCGGGCAAGCTGCTCCTGTGCTCACTCTAGCTTGGCCCTCTGGGAAGAGGAAGGTGCCTCCAGCAGATGTCCCACACCAAGCAATCCACGTGCACTGTTCCCACATGTAGGGAAGGGTCTGGCTGTGACAACCCCTGGAAAAGGGTGTCCTCAAATTCCGGTATTGTTCAACAAGTTAAAAGCATGGCTCCCTGTGCATGTGGGTGCCGTGTTCTGAGGGCCCACCTCTCACCCTCAAAGCTGCACGTCTCTGAGGTTTGTAGAGTGCCTGCCCCCGCACGCAGCACAGGGACCCAGGCTGGCACGTCTCCTGGAAAGAACAGCCATCAACAGTGGAAATTTAGCAAGGGTTTTGCAACATTTTTTCCAGAAGCAGTTAGTACATGCAAGTTGATAAACACATCTGTTCATGTGCACAAATACTTAATGAACGCTGATTTGAAGAGGCGGAGGTGGGAGTTCTCACGTCATTGTCTGGCTCTGGTGTTCAGGAGACAAAGGGGCAACACAAGAGGAACCCCAGAGACAGAACTACTCGCAGGGGTAGGAGGCCGACCTCGATGCTCTGTGGGGTTGCTGCCTGCAGGGGGCGACCCCTAGGAGCCAGTGAATGTCCCCCCTCAGCTCTACATAGACAGAGAGGTGGGCAGCTAGGAAAGTGGCCTCCCAAAGGGGCTCTGGTGACAGCCACAGGGACAGGGCACAAGGACCACAGTGTGTCTTCCTTCTCGGATAACTTTTGTTGGTGAAATGATTATCAGCAGCAGCAGGTAACCTCTGGGGATGTGCGAAGGGAACAGGGGGAACTCTGGTGGGCCAAACATACAAATATAACCTCTACAACAGCTGAAGTGCAGGCCCCCTGGGCCTCCCTCCCGAAACACAGCCCTGTCTGCCCCGCTGCTATGAACTGTCTCACTCAGAGCTCGCTCACCCATGGTGAGAAGGTGCAACCCATGTGTCCAGAACACCCAGAAGTGAGGAGCTGCTGCTGGGGTTGGTTGAGTGGCCTCTGACAGGGGCACCAGCCCTGTCCATCTTCCAGCCCAGGCTTGTTCTCTCAGGGCTCCCTCAGTACCCACCAGTCCGCCCCGAATCCTCACCACAGGGTATACCTGAAGAGTTCCTCGGCTGCTCTGGGGATGATCCCCAAGTCTTCAAGAGCATCTGACAGCAGTGCAGAGTCACCTTCAGAGTGGGGCCCCAACATGGTGTAGCTTTTCCCACTTCCGGTCTGTCCATATGCCATAATGCACACATTGTACCTGAAATTCAAAACCTGTTTAGTACAGCAAAATGTAAACGGAGTCTGAGGCCATTGACAAATGTCGCCACCTTGTATAACCTCTCATTTTTTTAAAAAAAAATTTATTTATTTTTATTTTATGTGCATTGGTGTTCTGCCTGCATGCATGTCTGTGTGAGGGTGTCAGATCCTGTAGTTACAGACAGTTGTTAGCTGCCATGTGGGTGCTGGGAATTGAACTCATGACCTCTGGAAGAGCAGTCAGTGTTCTTAACCGCTGAGCCATCTCTCCAGTCCCCTATAACCTCTCATTAAGCGAAGCTCACCCAACATACCCCGCAGCAGGTCCTGTGTTGGCCTCAGATGGCCTTTGCCAGGGCCCACCACTTCGCCCCTCTGCCAGCCTGTGGGTTACTGTCAGTGGTCATCTTGTTAATGTTCAATGTTGTTGTAGAGTCAGTCGCCTTACATGAACTCATTTTCCGAAATCAGGCTTGTCAGACCTGACTGATGGAAAGCTTGCATGGTATGGTTTCCTTTGAAGGTATGCAGCACAGATCCAGCATTGATGCCTACGCTCATTCTCATAACAGCCACTTTTTAAATATTTTCCTCTTTCACATATTTTATTTATTTACTCTGTGTATTGTGTGTGTGGGGGGTGCTGCTACACAGCTTGTGTGTCACAGCACACACGTGGAGGTCACGGGACACCATGCAGGAGCTGGTTCTCTCCTTCTACCGTGTGGGGTCTGGAGAGTCAAACTTAGACTGTCAGAATTGTCAGCAAGCATCTTTACCGACTAAATCACCTCACCAGCCCACGAGTCACTTCGAAAATATAATTTGCTATCCAAATGTCTGTGGCTTCTGATTCCCAGTGGGTACTTGGGCACTGAGGGCCATGTGATGGGCAGCACGTGCTCACTTGGTCCTGTAATTTGCTGTTTCCTGAAAACAGTTTACTTCCCACAAGCCCAGAGTTATTGATGATTCCTATTTTTTGTTTCTAGCCATTTTATTTTAAACTAAAACATGAACGAGAGGACTGGAAACATTTAAAGGAGTATTTACAATTGTTTATGAATTAAAATTATATCTAAGCTTTCGGGTTATCTTGGCTGTAAGGAAGCAGGCCTCCGGGTCCTTCTGCCCAATGCATACTGCAGACATTCCCAATGGCCTCTTGGAATCACCTGGAGATGTTCAGCAGCCCACGGACTCCTCACCTAGGCAATTCTGACTTAATTACCTCAATTCAGACTTATCTGTTTGGCCCTGCAAGTTAAACACGTCAGTGGCACTCGCTGATGAACGGTTTTGTGAAAGTGTTCTGGAAGGTGGGTATCTGTGTCACATCTGCAGCCATAGAAAGCAGAAGCCCTGCCCCCAGGCTCAGGGACCCCGAGGAGGAGAACAGAGCAGCTCAGGTCTCTAAGCCAGCAGGTGCTTTCCTTCTAGAGCTGCAGAGACTCAGTGCAGACCACATCCCACACCTCTGCCACCCTCCTGACACTGTCCTAGGTGCTTGTCCCAAGTGTGGTGCCTCTGACTGCACCTAACAGTCAGGCTCCTCGCGGGGCTGAGTCACGAGACGTGTGGAGGTGAAGGAAGCGCGGCCTTTGAAAAGATGTTGTGTGCTGGGCTCGAGATGGAAAAGCACGTCTGGTGGGTGATCTAGCCACGATGTCCACTCCACTTAGATAAAGGAGGAGGGAGGGCTGACCAGAACCTCCCTGTCATTTCTGGTGAAGGGCCTATTTTGGACAGATGTAAAAACAGAGCTGAAGCAGGAAACACATCCCAGATGAAAGGAAGGTTGGCCTGTAGCCAAGTGGCAGTGGGAGGATGTGGTGTCCCACAGCAGACTCCCTCTGCAGACGGCCAGGCCCCTGGCCGCACAGCACCCTGGCTGAAAGCAGCAGCGTGATGACGGCAGCTCCTGCTTTGCTAGGAAAGTCTTCTTGGGGAAGTGCTGGCGAGACTTCTCTGCGAGACTCAGTTTCCCAAAACGCCCTCAAGTTCACAGTCTTGGGTTTGAGTGTTGTGATGCAGTCTCTGCCCGGCGGCTCTGACGCCTGCTGGAACCAGTGGCTTCCCAAGACCAGAAGAATGGTTCTCAAAGAAGAGAGCTCCCCAGTCAGGCGCCGTTGTTCTCAATTGTCTTTAAAGTGGTTAAGAATTTTAAATTTAAAAATTTGAAAAGAACCTGGGTGGAATGTTCTGCAGATGCCTCTTAGGTCCATGATGTCATTTAACCTTAATATTTCCTTTTTTTTTTTTTTGGTCTGGATGACCTGTCCACTGATAAAAGTGAGTTACTGAAGTCACCTGCTGTTTCTGTGTTGGGGTTAATCTGAGGGTCTATGCATAACCGTGTTTGTTTGAAGTATTTGTATGAAGTTGGGTACACCCAAGTTTGGTGCATATGTTTAGTACTGTAATGCCCTCTTGGTGGACATTACACAGTGACCTTGATTTTTTTCTGATTAGTTTTGGCTTCTAATTGTCAGGTATTAGAATAGCAACACTTAGCCAGATGGTGGTGATGCATTTAATCCCAGCACTCAGGAGACAGAGGCAGGCAGGTCTCTGAGTTCAAGGCCAGCCTGGTCTACAGAGGGAGTTACAGGACAGCCAGGGCTACACGGAGAAACCCTTCCTTGAAAAACCAAAGGAAAACATAATAGCAACACTTGCTTGTTCCCTTGTCCTATTAGTTTGGAATACTCGTTTCCATTCTTTTACTCTAGGGTGCTGTCTATCCGTGAAGGTGAGGTTTATTTCTGTAGACAACAACAACAACATGGCTCTTAATACAGTAAGCTAGCTTGCATTTCTTTTGGATGAGGAATTGAAGTTACTACTATTCGAGGCCACTATTAAATGATGTGTATTAATTATGGCCCTTCTATGGTGTGGTGTTTGTTTTCTTAGGCCTACTTTCCTAACAACTGTGCAAGCACCGTTTGTTCTTCACGCGGAGCCTCCTGGGTGTTCTCATCCTCCTAGTTGGCAGTAGGGTCTCATTCCAGGATTCTCTGTAGGATTGGGTGGTGGTCATAAATTCCTTTAACCTGATTTGTTGTGGAGTGTTCTTCTTTCTCCTTCAGTGATGACAGACAGTTTTGCAGGGCATAGTAAGTAGTCTGGGTGGCGTTTGCGGTCTCTTAGAACTTGAAATAGATCGTTCCAAAGCCTCGTGGCTTTTAAAGTTTCTATTGAGAAGTCAGCTGTCACACTCAGCCCCAAACGGGACATGTATGCCACCTCCTCTAAGGTGCAGAGGACACCCTAGAGGGAAGACAGAAAGAATGGAGGCGCTTGTGGATGGGGGCAGGGCTGTGGCATGGCACAGCCATCACAATCGTGTAGTCACAGAAGCCGCAGCTGCCTACACCAGGCCTACACAAGCCTGTGCCTTCTAACCAGCAGGAGACCGGGGGGGGGGGGGCCGGGGCGGCTCACTGGGCCCCACCCTCGCTGCTGAACTGTTGGCCACTAATGGATTCAGGGGGAGGCTGAGTGGTCCCAATGCCGAGCCCACCAGCTCCATTGGCTGCTGCCAAACCTACCTTCACATAGATGGTCCTGGTCAAACTCGGTGGGTCATAGCAAAAGAACATAATAACCATGAGACAGAGACTTAGGGAAGCAGGTGCCAACAGAGGAGGACAAGGGGCAGTAAGGGGCAAGAGTGTGTGTGTGTGTGTGTGTGTGTGTGTGTGTGTGTCCACGTGCATGCACACCTGTGTGAAACTGTCAAGTTTAATTAGTAAAAGCAAGAGAAGACAAATCTGGACAGTTCTAAAGAGACCCGTGTGGTGGAGGAAGCAGCCCCCCAGGCTGACAGTGAACATGGTGGGATGCAGCACGGCTCGGAGCCCAGGAGCTCATCCGATGCTAGTCCTCCATCCCTCTGCTCTGCCCCAGGAGAGACGGGCTCCCCTGACAGACACTGAGCCATGCCGGGGCAACCCCAGCTCTCCTGGGACGCCCTTAGCCCTGAAGCTCCAGTCATCCTATGGCTGGAATGAGAGGCCCTGATCTTCCAGTGGAACTCTGGCACTGGCCTTGGAAATATCTGAACTCACCCATCCAAAAGGGATATGAGGAGGGGACGTAGATCTCCAAACACGGTTGCCTGAGATTCTGCTGGGCCATACACTCTGGGAATAAAGAGAGTGCCACATTAGTTTAAGCGGCAGAGAACTACTGCTGTACAAAACATGGAAACCTGGGGAGAATAATCCCTGCGACTTCCCCTACGGAATGCTGACAGACAAGTCCTATGAGAGCTTACTGTCTACTGCTTTTCAGGCTGGCAGGGGTCAAGGGAGAGCAAAGGCCAGCCGTTCACACTGTATCTGAGTGGAAGGAGAGCAGAGGTGGGAGGAGGGCAGACCCTTGGAAACAGACAGATCTTTAGTGGACTCTTCTAGCCTGTGCCCTTGCCTTGTGACTGGGAGGACCGCCAGGACCCAGGACAGCTCTGTGGGAGCTCTGTCGGCCCTGTTCCCTCTACAACAGTGGTTCTTAACCTGTGAGTCACCATCCCTTGGGTTTCAAACGGTCTTTTCACAGGGGTCGCCTAAGATCATCGGAAAATGCAGATATTTGCGTTACGGTTCATAACAGTAACAAGATTACAGTTATGGAGTAGCAACAAAAATCATGTGATGGTTGGAGGTCACCACAACATGAGGCCCTTCGTTGGAGGTTGAGAACCACTGCTCTAGAGGGTTCTTGACTGGTGACCCCATCCTCTGACTCACTTGCCGGCTGGTCCTGAGTGGCAGGCTGGGAGAACCTGCATATCTCCGGCTATGACCCCACCAAGCCTCAGCTATGGGGGGAGAAGAGTCCTCAGCGGGGCAGTAGGCAGAACCTAGGCACGTGGGTCCCATCTGTCGTATCTTGCCTGGGAGATGCCGTTACACTGAGCTGTGGAAGCCTCTGGTACGAAGCCCCACGGTGAGTCACTGTCACATCCTGACAAAACACTTGCTACCAAAACTGGGTGAACAGGGTGAGATTTTCACCCGGGACATTAAATTGCGGCTTATCTGTGAACACCGACATGGGAACTGGGAGACGAACCCCACATCTTCCTAGGCCCTACTGAGTTGGTATATCTGACACTGAACCCAGCTCTATACTTCCCCTTGAGACATTCTCACCTTTCAAAACTGTACGTCTTCTCAGCGGGAGGGCGGCCAGGAAGAGCACACCTCACCAGGACGGTTTCCTAATAGAGGACAGAGCAGGCAGGGCAGACTCGGGCAGGCCTGCGTTAGTCACGCGGGGCCAAGGCTGGAGAGCGTGCCCCAGGCAGCTCCCGCCGCTGCTTGCCTTTGTCGGCAGCTCTCCCTGGAACACACAGCTCGCTCTGGTGACAGACTGGGCTTGGCTGCTCAGGGACAGGGCTATGTAAGGAAGACCGCAGCCAGATGGCCCTCAGGAAGTGGCAGTTGATACCTGGCCCTTCAGAGATGGGGGGGTGTGCTGATCCCTGACAGGAGAGCAAAGCTGTGCCTGTGAGGTCCCAGGAGCCCGTCCTGCTGAGGGCATAGACGGTTCAGATGAGGCCAGGCAGTCACATCCCAGGATCACACCTGGTAGAGGTGAACTGCCTAGCTTTAAGCCTCACCCACTTTAGATCTTTTTGAAGGGAGGGGACTTAAGAGAGGGTCTATGTGGCCCAAGCTGGTCTCAAACCTCTGGCAATCTTCCTGCCTCTGCCTCCTCAGGCCTCACTGAGCTGTTTCTTCACTTACAGCCTATGAAGAGATGGTTACGGAATAACCTATAAGGGGAAAAGGGTCGGCATGCAAGGCTGACTGTCTGACCCGAGTTCAATCCCTGGGTCCCGCATGAAGGTGGAAAGAGAAAACTATGCAGAGTTGTGTACACACGCATACTACCCACAAAAACAAGGCTCTTAAAGGAAAAAAATATATTATATATGGAGGTATATGTCCATATCCATGTGAAAAGTCACGCCTGTTTTAGGAGCAGAGCTGCAAGCTACAGGACCAACCACTCTTCACTCTAGGCGGTCAGGTGTCCTTCTCTACGGCTAAATGCTCCAAGAAGGCAGCTGGAATACAGTGTGTTCCATCCAGCCACCGATGGCTCCCTGACCCCACCCCCTCCGCCACACACACACACACACACACACACACACACACACACACACACACACACACACTGACAACAGCAGGCACTCGGCACAGTCAGGGCAACACCACAGGCATCCCATCCACGCAGTGCGGTGGGGTACAGAACACCGTCAAACGATGGCAGACAAAGCTTTGATTCAACCTGCAGAGTACCTGGACTTGGTCTCTCCTGCCTGTGTTCCCAAACCTCCCTGTTCACAACATGAAATGTCCCTTATTCACATACACCAGTGACTTCTGCTGGCTATTTATTTAAACAGTTTTCTTTTGTCCCAGTGTTCACACCCTGGTCCCCTGCAGTATAGTGCTTGTCTGGGTGGGAATCACCTAGTGTGGGATCCTTTTCCCAACTGGGCCATGGTAGTCTCTGGGCTCACCTACAAGGAGGTGCGCGCGCGCACGCGCGCACACACACACACACACACACACACACACACACACACACACACACACTGCTTATCATCTATTTCTGAGGCATGTTTTGTGATCTGGGACTTGAGCCCAGGGACTCACACATGTTAGGCAACCAGAGACACATTAGGCCCATTCTCTGATCTTTATGACTATTTTCTCATTGTATCCAGTTCCTAGAATATCTTTAAAAGCATGTAGGGCATAGACCTGCCATGAAATCTCAGAGCTAAAGGTAGGTTTGAATCTGAATCTCACGTCACTCACAGAGAGTGCAGGAGGAGGTACATGAACTTCAGGACTGTTCACCACTCTCGCTGCCTCCACCTTGGCCGTGGTCAGGCTTAGAGCAGAGTTCTTAGCTGGAGGGTACCCGGGCATCTCACAGAAGAGAGTGGATGCTCCATGCCCCAGCAGAACAGCAGGTCTGAGGTGGGACTGTCAGGTAACTTCACCAGGGGCCGTCCCCACAGCAGGAAGTGGCCCTTCCGTCCATGTTGGGGAAGCAATATCTAGATAGTTCCTGTAGGGGGCAGGCAGGATCCCTTTACTCTGGCAGATATCCTGCGTGACATAAGGAATGTAGGTAGACATGCAATCACATGATCACATTCCTTTCTGAGGCAGAGACACTTGAGAATGCTGGCCAAGGAGTTACAGCCCGAGACAGCAAGGAAAAGGCAATTTGAGTGTGGTCAGTGTGGACCCTGTACTGACCTCTGAATAGCTATTTACGTTAATGAAGACATCTTAGCAAAATTACCCAGCGGGAGAGCAAAGTCCCCAAGAAGCTCAGCCAAAACTAACCAATGACTTTTTAAGAACAGCTACGAGGAGATTATACTCATGTAAATACGGTCAACTAAAGCAAGATGCTGTCTGTACACAAAGGGATAACCTTTAAGTAAGGCCCTCAACAACACACAGATCCTAAGATGTGGTGAAGAGCTCGGCTCCATCCTAGTGCCCTTGAACCCCAGGGCATGGCAGGAGCAGGTGTAATCTTAGCACAAAGGTTACATCAGGACCAGGACCTGGGAATATGTGAGGGGTGTATCCCAGCTGGAGTAAGGGGAAGGAGATGGACCAGCTGACCTCGGGGAGGCCCTTCCCTCATTCCCTGTCAGGTTCAGAACATGTTGGTGACTGTTATATGTAGGGGGGTTTAATAGCTTATACGTGCTCCTGGAATCCCAGTTTCTGGGGTGTGTGCTCAGGTCCCATAGTCACTAGACAGCTTCTCTGTGTCCCATCAGCTATGAAGCATGGTCTGCAAACACTTGCAACCAGCCTCCTCTCCCTCCACGTTCAAGCTCCCCGGACTGTTGTTAATTGGACACACAGGTTCTCTTGCTGCCCCAGCTTATCAGGTTTGATTCGCCTTCTCTCTGGGCTTCCCCTGTAGAGAGGGTACCACCCTCTGTTACCACCCTCTGTACTGGCGGGCTGCTCTCTCAGGCCAGCTCTTGTTCCCGGACTAGAAACAGGATGCCCCTCAAGTCTACCTTCCGCTCTGTCATCTGTCGACTTGGGGGACACTAAGTCTACCTCCCGCTCTGTCATCTGTCGACTTGGGGGACACTAAGTCTACC